CTGGGCTACCCATGCCTGCTTCAGTATTGCAGGCGGGGGGGGGGGAGAGGGGCATGTTTCATTTCACCCCTTCACCAGCTTCTCCTGATTCCACGCTTTGACGGGCGGGGGTGGGGGCACGTTTTGTTTCACTCCATTGCCAGCTTCTCTACTTCTACTTAGTTCACTTTGGGTCTCTGCTTTTTAGAAATAATAATTTAAAACTCATCAAGTCTGGTCTGTGCTGCTCTAATACTCTTGGGTATGAGGCTACTGCCTAGACCATAGTGATCTGACTGAGCAGGGTCATGTCTTTAAAGAAGAAATGATCCTTTCCCGTTAGCTCTAGATTGCAGTAGATCCTCAGCTAGGGCGAAACTTCATGCCAACCTCCCCTGGCACAGGCCAGAATTTTGTCCTGCTTGAATTTGCTCAGGTCTAAGGTTTGCCTTCATGGTAACATATCACTATATCCATGGATTAGTGCCATTTCTCAACCCTCATTGAAAAAGATTCTGATCACAGCAGATAGTTATTAACACGGAGACCTAGAACTGGTCAATGGGACGAGAATAGGAGCCCGAAGCATACTTAGTCCAAATGGAACATCTGTATCACACACCATCCTTCGGAGGCTCAGGGGGCAGCATGGCAGAGTGTTGGAAAAGACTATAAGAGACAGGAATGATGGATGACGTCAAGAAAATAATATTTTAAATCTTGTTTAGTCCTGAGAACAACCAACCCTATGAAGTACCCTTATGTTGTCCATGTTTATAGACATTAACTGTCTAAAAAGGTAGAGAGGAGCCACAATTTGAATTCCAGGGAATCTTGATGCTGTGCTCTGTCTATAATACATAATTTTAAAAAAATATAACTCATCTTGATTGACCTATTAGGCAGAGGGAGCGAATTGTTTCACATAACCAGAGGGAGAGAAAGAGCAGATGGAGATTCTCTCTCAAACTCTTCACAGTGTCTTCCACTGTGTAACTGAAACACACTGTGGCCCCTCTGAAGTATACCTGTTTATTATTTGTAGGTAAGCACATGGGCTTATGTTAATTTAGGTTCTATAGAAGCATCTTTTGCCTCACTGATTTTATTTCGCAAGCTCAGTATTCAGAAGCAGAAGGATCTTTTAAGACCATCCTGAGATACTTTTTTAAAAATGAAGGAAAAAGAAAGAGCAAAGAAAAGAATTTCTTGTCTGTCAACAACCCAACAGGACAGACAGTTTTGCTTTGGTTAACGAACTCATACTTCATCACTGAAGGTGGAGGCCATCAGCCTGCATCCTCTTAGTTCTTGATAGACTGGGTCCCATCTAGATCGTAACAAGGTAGAGAAATAAATATATCTACATAGAAACTATTGAATAAGTCAGCCATTTGTCAAAGAGCTATGTAGTAATAAACAAGTTAAGGCTGGCTATCTGGGATAAGAAGGAATAAAAGTCCTTTGTGATCATTTTCTGATTTTGTCAGGTTCAGGGATGTAGTTAACTCAAACAAGCTGTGATCATCCCATCTGCATTTCCTATTGATTTTATTTAACACCACGCATTAGTGCAAATAAATCTGATTTATTCAGAGATCTTAGGAGAGGGGAAACACAGGGCCATTCGACTGCTCACTAAGCAGTGCCGAGAATCCAGGCACTGAGAACATTAGCTGCTACACGGTCATGGAACAACAGGAGGTTGTGGGGACAGTGCACAGTGGTACAGCAGCTGCTTTGCTGGGGTGTCCAGCTGCTTTTACCAAACTGATTATTCTCATAAGATTCAACCATCACACTCTTGTATTTATCCAGAGGAATTCAAAACTAAAGTACATACAAAATTGAGCAAATGTTTAGGTGGCTTGGTACATAAGTTTTAAAACTTGCAAGCCACAAGCTGTCTATAATAGGGGAGCAGATAAATTCACAATAATACATCCAGAAGCAGGATGTTATTCAATGCTAAAAAGAAAATGGAGGCAGGAGAAGACAGAAAGGAATCTGAAATGCATACAAACTGCTCCCAAAGGAAGCCACCTTGGGCGTGCCATCTACCACTCTTTAATGCGTAATAATTATCTACTCGCTTACAACTGAGGTGATATTCTTCACCTGGATTTTATTTTATTGTTGTAGTATGTAAAACATTGCATATTAGAGTTGTGTTTTAATAATCCATAAAAACTAAAGTCTTTTAATAGTTGACTTTTAAAGACTTGTGCAGAAAGAGTTCGGGAGGTACTGCAGTCAGTAAAGTGTGCTATGCAAGCCAGAGGACTTGAGTCCAGATCCCTAGCACCCGCGTAAGAACCTGGAGATGTAGTGGTTTACATATGTGATGCCAACAGTGGGCAGGTGAAGCCAGAGAGTCCCTGGGGCTCCATGAACACTATATTCAGTAAGAAATCCTCTCTCAAAATCTAATGTAGAGAGCAGGAATTGTCTTAGTTGGGGTTTCTATTGCTGTGAAGAGATACCATGACCAAGGCAACGCTTATAAAATAAAGCAGTAATTGGGGATGGCTTATAATTCAGAGGTTTAGTTCATTATTGTCACGGTGGGAAGCATGGGGACATGTAGGCAGACACAGTACTGAAGAAGTAGCTGAGAGTTATACATCTCGATTGGCAGGCAGCAGGAAGAGCATGAGAGCCACTGGGCCTGGCTTGAGCTTCTGAAAGCCTGCTGCCAGAGACACACTTATTCTGACAAAGCCACACCTACTCCTGCAAGGCCACACCTCAATAATGCCAGTCCTTATGAGTCCATGGGGTCATTTTCATTCAGACCACCACAGGAAAAGCAGTTGAGTAAGACACCCAACCTCAGCCTCTTTCTTCTCATGCATGTGCACACGTACACACATGTCAGCCAAGCATATATACACATGCAAGCAAGGACCTACCCATTCAGATTCCAGAACTGTTATTGCATGTTACTCAACTAAATTGCATAAATGTGAATTATATTATCACAAATTAAACATATTTACAAAATTAAAAAGTAACTTATTGACTTCCTCCCACTTTTAATATCTATGCCTGATAGGTTCACTATCTGGTGAGATTTATTTCTTCTCTCTCCATGGCTTCATTATTAGAATTCATAGAAGTATAAAGCACAGAACACATATGCAAATACACACAGAGGGGAAAAAAAAGGGCTTTCCTTCTAGCCTTTGTGTACACATGGAGCACCCCTCTGAGTTGAGGTGATGAAGTGGCTGGGGCTGCAGTGTAGACATGCTCAGTTCATCACACACACACACACACACACACACACACACACACACACACACACACACAGGTCTGAATGCTGCCAAACGAGCCCAGGGTAAAATTGTGAGGGAGGGACATTGTTTCCGGTTCCATTGTTTTGTTTTGTTTCTTAAATCAATTCAGCAGTCCTTTCAGATGACTTCCCCAGGCATCCTTACTCCCTGCAGGCTGTGCACAGAGCACAGAAGAGAACTCTGCATTCACTCAGCAGTGCTGTGCCCCGGGAGTCTTCCCCTATGTCTTCTCTGGTGCTTTTCCCATGGGAGGCACAATACACGAAACGCTACGTCATGCTTTCCGGACGAAAGAAGTGGGGTTCTGTGAGCACTGCGAGGCTTTCTTCTTTTTCTGTTTGCATTGTGTGCATGAGCGAAAACACTTCTCGTAGGCTCCTAATGAGTCATCAGTGTTCCACCCGCTGTGCACGAAGCCTTCCTTCCCTCCTTCTGTTTGTAAGCTGGTGTGGGAAATGCCCCCTCGAGGCCCCTGCATACTGCCTCCTGGACTATTCACAAAAGGCCTTTCCCCCGCCTCTTTCCTTTGCAGGGCATATTGCTCAGTTTTGAAAAGCAATATTTTAGGAAATCTGTAGAACCATAAGGTAGCAAGTTATGTATTAATTAACTCTCCTCATTCATTCATCTCTTATGTGGTGAACATTTACCATGAGCATGGCATTGCACTTGGGATGAAAATGTATTGGTGAAGCAAATGAAGACGACAGTCCTATGGGACCGTGGGATGCTGGAGGGGGCGTAGGGATGCCCAGATTGCAGTGTGAAGCTTGCAGCTGAGCACCATTGAGACAGTGGCAGGATACAGCATGCGTCCTAGCACATTTCTGGGATGAATACATTTCCTGGAGTATGAAAATTAAATCTCAGAGGTGTCAGCCCTTTCGTCCCTACTAACACTGCAGTCTACAGACAGACAAAGCAGCGTTCACAAGGGAATCAGGTGGCTGTCCCCATAAACACAGCAGAGTCGAGATGCGGTTTTGCTGACGGCCATGCCAAGAAAGAGTCTGTGTATTAGTGAGCTACTTCGTTCTCGTTTGGATTTAAATATTTAAATCGCCCCCAGTGTTAACAGGCAGCACAAAGAACATAAATCTGGAACGCGTATCATGAAGCATTTGTTGCGTTCATCTCTAGATGACCATTTCTTTTCAACAAATAGAACACGGAAGCAAAATGTGCTCTTCACCATTGTTAATCAAAGACTTAAGTACGACGTGTCTTCCGGGGCCACCCATGCTGTGCCTCCACTCAAAGTGACCTTCTTCATCCCACAAAGCTTCTGAGAAAAAAAACCCTTGGATCTGTTATTTCAGCTTTTCCGTGTTTCTCCATCTTATGTTAAGTAGACTACTTTCAGTGTTTTCTGTATCAACTGCTGCCCCTGAAGACAGTGGTAAATTTCAGTAAGGTGTCACGAACCATAATCATTCTAACTCCATGAGCACGTGACATTATTGTTTTCTTTAAAGAAATGTCTGAGGCGCCCATTATGAAGTTAAAATCATATTTCCAAGATTCTGTCGTTCAAAAGCGGTACATTCAGCTCCTTATTGGTCAGATAGTAAGGTGGCTGCCTAGGATGTTTTCTTTCCCCTTCCTAAGCCTAATTCAGTCCGGGCAGTTGTTGGTAGTGGGTTTTCTGAGGAAAACAATTCTTGGGCTCAGACAGTGGAACTTGACTCTTCAAGGCCAAAGCTGTTTCCCTTGCTCTTTCAGATAAGGAGACAAGGAGGCATACAGCTCCTGGTGGACCTGCTGGATCACAGGATGACGGAAGTCCACCGTAGTGCCTGTGGGGCTCTGAGGAACTTGGTATATGGGAAGGCTAATGATGACAACAAGATCGCCCTGAAAAACTGTGGTGGCATCCCAGCGCTGGTGAGACTGCTTCGCAAGACCACAGACCTGGAGATCCGGGAGCTGGTCACAGGTGAGGCTTCTCATGAAATGGATCTGTTTGTCTCAAGATGCGAGTTTTGTTTTCTAGCCCAGTAGCAAATGCAGGAACCAAGTATTACAACACAGAGCCTCCCAGGTCTGATTACATGGTCATTCTCCAATTTACAGTGAGTGAGCAAAATACCATCAAAGGTAACTCACATAGGTTGATCATACTCAATAATCCAGTAAAGGCAGCTATCAGCAAAATCCTGTGATCTTACTTCAGTCTTTGTCATTTGCTTTAGAAGTAGTTGAATATCTTATAGGACCCACAGGCCATCATTAGAGTAATATTAGAAATATCTGATAAAAAGACGAGACATTCAAGCTATTGGCAATCAGCCGCATGTTCTGGTTTATAAGTATACTGAGCATATTGAGCTTCTAGTGTGGACTTATTGAGTAAAATACCCCTGCGTGCTCCAAGTCCCAAGGTTGTAGTACCGAATACTAAAGAACTATTTGAAAGTTAACTTGAATGCCTTTCCACATTCGCAGAACTTTGGGTTTTAGACCTAATAATGGTAGCTTGTAGATTAATGAGGGCGCAAACAGGGAGACTGTTGAAAGCAGTCAGCCCATCCATTTCTTGGAATAATTGGACAGAGTAAATGTTAACCACTAACTGTCATTCTTCACTCTGTAAGTGTGTGGTCTGAACTTGGAGTTCTAATGACCTGCGTGTCCCCGGTATGGGATTCCAAATTGCTCTGAAGCTTTCTCTTCTACGCTATGCTTGCTGCTGTTGTAGGTGGTGTTGGCATCTGGTTCATTAAAGTACCCCACTAGCAAGTCTTTGACAAATGAATTCCAAATGCAACTCTCCCAAAAGATCTCTTAATTATCCACGATACCATTGCATTGACCTTCTGTCTGAGGTCTAAAATTTCCCTGTATCGACGCGGATGAGGCGTGTGAAAAACTTATTTAAGGAAATACATAGCTCAAGCTACAGAGTCATAAATAGGCACACAAGGCCGGGTCCAGACACCCAGTTTCAGTACATCTCCTTGTATCCTCTTCCTCCAATGGCATTGTTCGACCCCGTTCTTGTTTTTGGCTAAGTTTAAACCAGACCCACATTGCCTCGTTCTTTTTTTATCTTTCCTTTGTTATGTCCTCCACCAACCCTTCCTTGCTTGCTGGCTTAATATTTCCTCTTCATTTTTCTGTAAGTAGAGGGTTTTCCTTGTGGAAATAATTATCGGCAAGGGTTAGAGTGTTATTAAAGTAATGTTTCACAGTAAGCTCAGATGGGTCAGGCCAGGTAAAGTGGTCATTATGTGCACTGTGTGATTCTTGAGGACTGTTTGGAGGTGAGTTAGATAATCTGAACGACTCCCTGTCATTATGGTTATGCAAGACGGCCTTTATTGTCACTGGCTGAGTGTGAGTTGGGAGTGCCTGGGAGGGAAGGTCGCCATATGTGTGATGGAAAGAAGATGCTTGGTGCATAAACATTTTGCTACCGGATGCAGACAGCCAAGAGAATGAGCGTCTACAGTGCCTTCTGCATACGCTGTACGTGCTGTCTCCTGCTTGGAAAAGACTTGGAATTAAGTCAGCTTTGTATTGCCTGTAAAGCCATTATCTCGAGGCTGCTTCAGTGGCGATTGTCCTGTTGGTAAAGCCATGGTGTAAATGTCAGAGGTAGAGAAACCCATCGCATGAGCTGCTGCTGACACTGGCTATAAAGGAGTCGAGAGAAGCCGGAGCATTCCAAAGCCGCCGCCTTTGGAAGATCTTGGAAACTACCATTTTAAGCCAAAACAATGGTAGAAATGTTTCTGTGAACTCCATTTGGAAGTAATAAAAAACACATCCTTCTTAGAGGGTCAAGAAGACTTTGCTTGTGGCGAAGCTTCGGCTTTGGGAAGGATGTGGTTAGTACTTGACTTACAGAGGCCTTCCCTTCTTACTCTGCTTCTCCTGAGGAAAGCCAGACAAGTGTGTCCCCACGGTGGCCAAAACTTTCTTCGCCTTCCGTCCTGAAGGGAACACTGTCTTTGAAACAGCAGCGAATCAATTATGAACAATCAAAGTTAGCACCCTAGCCAGTGTTCCCTGACTTCCCAGAGACTATGTTCCTATAGTTTCTCTGTAGCTGGAATTAGCTTTGTGGGTGATGTTAACTAGCAAACTTGGGCTGCAGGACCATCCCACAGAAGGAAACTGGAAGAAGGAAAGCACCTGTGAGGACAAGCTTGCACAAAGGGGTGGGTGCTGAGAATGCAAAACCTCCCAGGTGTCCCCAGTGACAGAGACCTGGGGGATATCAATAAGCCTGCAGAACTCAGTTGGCTTCTGTTTAGACAGCACACCAGTGATCAGGTCTAAGCAAAGTCAATCCCTCGGCCTGAGGAACAGGAAATGAGGTGAATTGAAGGTATCTCATTTTCATCTTCAGCACTGGCCCATGTCATCTGCTAAAAGGGGCTTTGGAGCGCTGATTCTGTTGTCTTTTGCAGAGCGTGAGGAATTCATGGTTTCAGTTCAACTAATCCAGGTCAACCCCAAGGTCATCGAACCCTCCCACGTCTCTTTCTCTCTCCTCCTCTGAGACACTTGTCTCCACCCAAGTCCCATGGTCTTCTTGATATAGTAACCCTGCCTATGTGAGCCCAGGAATGCCATCCTTTCGATTCATGCCCCAAGCACTTCACAGGACCCAGGTGGTGGGTAGTCTGTATACTTGTTAACTAACCGCCCTCTATCTGGAACTCACTGCCTGGGTGAAGCCCTGCTCTGAATGACAGGTGCCTGTGTCTTAATGATAAATATGTAAAGATTCTCTGATGGCTTGAATAGAAATGGCCCCCATAGACTCATGTTTGAATGCTTGGCCTATAGGGTGTGGTACTCTTAGGAGGTGTAGCTTCATTGGAGTATATGTAGCCTTGGTGGAGGAAGTGTGTCACTGTGGGCCAGGTTTTAGGTCTCATATGTTCAAGCTATGCCCAGTGTGGCACATGGTCTCTTTCTGCTGCCTGGGGATCAAGATGCAGAACTCTCAGGTCCTTCTCCAGCACCCTGCATACCTGCATCCTGTCATGCCATGATGATAATGGACTAAACCTCTGAAACCGTAAGCCAGACCCAACTAAATGTGTAAACGAGTTGTGGTGGTCATGGCATCTCTTCACACCACATCCTAAAGGAAACAGGAATATTCTGACAAATGTATCCACATTTTATAAACTTACTAGATGAGCCATGAGGAAATCAATGACTATAGAGGGCAGACAAGGATGTCAGAGTGGCTTGCTTCACTTCCTTTGCTCCAAAGAGCCTCAATAGCTCTGCAGATCCTTTGGCAATGAGGTCAAGTGTCCACGCATGAATTATATCAAACTGTGACTTCTCAGTTCTCCAGGAGGCATGATGAGAACTCATCAAGGTCTCACGATGTGGTGTGTGATAGGGTCCTCTAGGTAAAGGGAGTTGTTTCTATCTGTCTCCTGCCCCTGAGCAATACAGTGCATTGGGAAAGGACAGGGAGAGGGGTTCTTTGGAGTTGTTCTGTCTATAGTTATATATTGGGATGTGCAGAATTGTAAGGTGATGAATTGGGTGATTTGAACGTGTTTTATAAGCAGGAATTTGGATAAAAATCTTGCTATGAAGTCTCGGAATCGGCCTCTGTGTCCATCAGCAGGGAAATGAGTGAAGAGAAAAGTGGCATATACACACACTGTAATTGTTTTTTTTTTTTTTTTGTTTTGTTTTTTACTTTTCAAGCAGTTTTATTGCTTAAGCTTGGTAGAGCAAGAACCAAGAAATAACACACACTGTAATTGTATTCATCAGTAAAGGACAACATTGTGTTGTTCACAGGAAAGTGGATGCACCTAGAGATTAGCATATGAAGGAAATGATCACCTTTTCTCTCATTTGGGGGTCACAGAATTTATATAGATTCGTAAAATCACACATGTATATGTGGCAGGAAAGTAGAGGTGAGCTCTCTAGGGAAGCTAGAGGGACTCACAGGAGAGGGAGGGACGAGTGGGGCCGTGACACGGTCAAGCTCCTGACATCTCTGCGTTAAGATGTCCACGTGAAATGCATTACCACGTGCAAGGTGTATCTACCAATTCAGAACAGATACTGAGGAAGCCAGAGTGCAAACAATAGAAGGATAAAATAAAGCAATCATCCCCCAGGTCTATAAATTGTTTATTGAATAATTCCTGGAAAATTGTTTGAACAGTAATTAAATGTTAAGATAGAGGTATCTGTATGCAGCACACAGCCATAGAGGCTGGAAAACACCTGCCTGCTCACACTGCGGCCTCAGCTCCCAGCGGCATCTATTTCTCCGCCGCGTAGCAGACCTGGGAATACATAATTTTCCTTCTGTGCAATAATTATGATGAGATAATGATCAGCCTTGTATTTAACCCCAGTCGGAGTTATTCCCTGCTGTCCATTACTCACGGTGCCTGGGAGCAAGCGCACCAATTAGAAATGCTGCCTGTCCTGTGGACTTGACGGATGCAAAGTTTTCCTCTCTCTCAGTGTGGAAGTAATCAGCATAAATTTTGAAATACACAACTGAAGTTTTGAGAATGCTTCACAAATCATAATAAAACAGTGTTTATTGGAGCAGAAGACTTGGTTAGTAGGTTTTCCATTGGGTTAAAGCAAGTGTTCTTGGGAGCATCACTTCTAGAGCTGTAGGGGGTATTCTCTTTATGCTACATGTGCCCAAATGGTCCTTTCTTTTCATTAAGGAGACCAAGCAATGACTCAACCTTGCCAATGATTTCATTTTTTTCTTTCTTGGTTTTTAAGTTGGCATACAAAGTAATGGGTTTCGTGGCGGCGCACCACGCCCGTCTGTGCTCTATGTGCCACCATACAGTTCGTGAGCCAGGCAAGGGGCTGGAGATTGAAGCACACAAAGACTCACAGAGACACAGGTCATCCTTGATGCCAGAATGCCCCAAGAATGCCCCCTTTATTGTGCCCAGGGGCAGCTTATATAGG